ATAGACCTAACTTAAATGAAATGCCTAACTGATATCAATTTTACTAGATCACATCCAATGTAGAGTCAATCAAAATGAGTGGATTTTGCCAATAGTGGGTCTATGTGTCAATTGGGCCTGATGGGTCAAGTAAGTTTATCTTTGATTCATTTTGGCTAAGTGCACCTCAGGATCAAATTAGGTCTAAGCTCTTATGGATTTTAAGGTGTGGTGTTAATATCTGACTTATTAGACTAAAACCCAAGATTAAAAATTTGTATTTGTTTTAAGTTCCATCAAGTTGTATTGCTCAACCAAAAAATAAATGAGTTAATAATTTTATTTTTTTAATTAATTAAATTTTTTTTATTTTGTTTATTTACGACTAAATTGAGTAATTATGTCAATTTTTGGTGGGGTTGGAACTGGTCAGTCATGACTTGTGTTTTTGGTGGTGTCAGATTGGGTTTTAGGTTGGTCAAGTTGCATTCTTATTAGGATTTTTGACCCATTTAGTAAACAAGTAGGGTTCTAATTGGCTATATTTTTGTTGGGTTATTTTTAGGTTGGACCCATACCAATTTGACATCCCCATTTTTAAGGATTAAATCTAAGTGAGACCAGATGTCAAATGGGCCAAATAGGCTTGATTGCATATATTTGGTCAAATAGATCAAAAGGGTCTTAATTGGGTTCACTTGGGACAGCTGCACTAAATGACCAAATTAAGGCTTGGTCAAAGTTCCTACTAAGGATCAAGTCTAAAAGAATTCATGTGTCTTTTTGGCCTGATGAATCCAATTGCATCTACATGCATCAAATGGATCAACTAGGTTCAGTTGGCATAGGTTTGATTGTATCACAATCAATGGGTGGGTCTAAATCAGTAGGATGAGTGATATGCTCCTTTGATGGACCAATTTATCTAAAAACTCACCTGCAAATGGCAATTCTTTATTAATTTTTGTGACATTAAATTTTGTTTATACCTTCATCTGAATCATTATGACTTGCACAAGCTTTTTTTGTGAATTGTCAATGATTTTGAATCGCTCTTTAGAAAATGAACAAATTGATATCAAGCTTGTACCTGATCATTATTATTTATCTAATGATAGTAAAACACTAACTACAATCCATGTTTTATTTTAGATAATTCAACTGTAAACTTTTAATTTGTGAACTCCATTGCACTCATAGGGTCGATGGTATCATCATTCATCACTTAGAGACTTCATCACTTCGGTTGCTACCACACTATTGTGAAAGGTATTATGGATCATTAGGGAGTATGGGAGTCATGAATTGGTTTCTCTTAAAAATTGATTCGACAAATTAATTATTTTTTTGTTGATTTATGAATAACAAAATCTTAGAGGCAAAGTTAGTTTGTTGAAAAATGCATAGATAAAGTATTTTTAAAATTAGGAATAGAATTTTTAAATTGTTTAAAATTCTTTTAACAAAGCTAGATTTTTATTTTAAAAAACTCGGCTCAATTTTACATAACAAGCTCAATACACTGTAGTATTCCTTTATATTATAGAGCATTATTATTACTAGAAGTGTAGAAAGTAACAAATGAGTAAGTTAATGTGTAATGGTTTGGTACCAGCTTCCTATGTCCACTTCTTGAGTCCTAGGATTTTCAATATTCTTTTTTTTATGTCGTGAGATGTAGAAGTTTCTCCCTTTTAAAGGTAATGGAGAAAACCCTAATTCAATTTCTATTGCTAGCAAGAAGCTAGTTGCTCCTAGTTCCATTACTAGCTACACAAAATTATCGCAATTATTTTGGAAGGCTTAATCCACCAAAATTTAAAATGTGAGGATGCAAAGATTGTTGAAATGATGGCTTGTGGTACAATCTTATTCTCTATCTAGAAATTCTCTCGAAGGTTGCGGAGGTGGTGAGTTTCATGCAATTTTTTCTCTCACAATTTCATAAAGGTCTGGGTTTAGTATTAGCTTTTATATTTAGAATATTGGAAATTAGACATGAAATGTCACCAAGAAATTTATTAATAAGCTGCAGCTGCCCCAAACAGACCCTTAGCCTTGTAGCCATGTATGTTATCGCAGTTGCTGCTCTCAGTATGCGAAGCATGATAGCCACAAGTTTGGCTATTGATGCCTATGGTCGCTGAAATGGCTGGTATGAGTTACAAAATTTGTGAGAGGAACGACGCCCTCTATGTTGTAGGAAAAAACTCTGGAATTCTTTCTGCAGCAGGCCCTTCAGAAAATTTTCTGCAATTGACCCTCCTGAATTTTTTCGCAGTAGACCCTCCTCTGGAGCTTTTCTTGTAACAGGTCCTCCACCAAAATTGTTCATGCAACAATCCCCCTTTTGGAGCCTTTTCATGCATCAAGCCCTCCAGACTTTTTTCCTGTATCAGGCCCCTCCTTCGGAGCTTTCACTGCATTAGGCCATCCGCCTAAATTTCTCCTGCAGCATGTTTTCCTCCAGAGCCTTTTCCTGTAGTGAGACCTACCTCCTGAGTTTTCTTTTTTTCTGCAGGTCATAATCTATAGCTTTTCCTATTGGTTGTCTACTTCCTTACAAACTCACATACAACATTATTTGTAGGAGTCTTCAGTCTATCTATAGACATTGTAGGAACTGCAGTTAAATACAATAATAATCAACTTGAAATCAATTTTTTTTGTTTTTTGTCTATTTCCTTGCAAACTTCTCTACAACAATATTTCTATAGGAGTCTTTGTCTTATAGACACTGCAGTCAAAGACAACCGCAGTTATCAACTTCCCTGCAAACTCTCATGCGCTATTACCTGTAAGAGTCTTCCACCTAACTATAGACACTGCAGGAACTGCAGTCAAAGACAACCACAGTATGAGACGAAGACTTCAAATTCTACCTTTCAGGATCTTCCTCGTTCATTATTTGGTATTTTCAAATCCAAGTTGAACATCAACTGTGTTTCAACTTAAAAAGGAGTGTTGGAAATTTTATTAGGAAATAATTTATTCAAATTAAAAGCTATGAGAATTAGATTTATTTTCTAATATAATTTTTTTCTTCCTATTTTAGTTTTATTTTCTTGGTTTGAATTTATTTTGATTCCTATTTTAGGCTCTCCTATTTTTTGTTGTTTTTTTATTTCTAAATAATTAATGTGAATTGATTAATTCGAAATATTAAGTGTTACATCTTTCCTTTCCTGTTATTTCTTTTTTATTATCTTTTCTGTTCTAGAATTCATGCTTTTATTTATACCTTCTTTCATATCAATAAGATAAGTTTACTTCCGCATTATGATAAATTTCAACAATATATAATAATATATATCAATTATTAATGTAAGATGCTTTAGAAGGAAAAAAAAAACTAAATCAGTTAAATCTTAATCATTTTATAATTTAAGTGACCACTGATTTATTAATGAGGTTACTGTAGCAAGCAGAAAATTCCACTAATGAAGTCATGCAACAGCCTGATTGAATCTAATGGCAGGAACTAATTTTAATTAAGTAAATTAATTTATCTTTCTATATACATTTTTATTAAACTAACTTCAATCCCGTTTCTTCCCTAATAATCTTCCTGGTTCCTCACTCCCTCTAACTTCCCACTTTGAGAGCTTGGCGTTGCTGGCTCTGAAACGGGAGAAAACTGAGAGCTGCTGCGCTTAGTTACTGTTTTACGAAAAAGTCAGCAAGCTCAAGGGAAATTGAGGTTGGGAGGTATTTAAGACGGACTTCCAAATATAAATATTTATACATGTATGTCAAGTTAAATTTTCACTTTCTTTCCTTAGTGTCTCTCTAGTTTTTCTTTATATCCGCATGCACAACATAGGAAGGTAGAAGTGCAAAGTTGGGAGTTTAAACCTGTGATGGTGATCTAGGTTTGATTATAAGGTAGATGTATATATGTATATATAGTTAGCTAATTTTAGTGAAGCTAAACTTATTATTTCTGCATTCCTAAAGCCTAAGAAAAAAATAAAAGGGGAAACGAGGAAGGGGAAGGAAGAAAGAGTGGAACAGGATGGATTTATACCCAGAAACCCGTTTGAGGTAAAAATTCATAAATAAATTATTTTTATGGTTGAATCACGAAATGAGTTAAGATTTTTTGAAATCCTAAGATGCTTATGAATTTCAGGTTGTTTAAATGAGGCGGGGAGCTCGAGGCGAGCATGCGGAAACTCTTCGTAGGGTTCGGTTAATTTAGATAAAATAATCTTGTGCTAACTTAAGAAAAATAATTCTCTGTAGGCCTTTATGTGATTTCTTGTTTGACACTGTAGCATTTAGATTTTTTTGTATATTGTGGATGAATACCTGCATTGAATGTATAAATGCAAATCGATTGTCCTTTACAATACATGTGATTTTACCATGCTATGAATCTGATGAATATATTTATGAAATTATTGTCTATAGGCATTCATTTGCTATGATTCATCTATATGCTATATGAAATACTCATGATGAATATTTGTTATAGAAATTACACTTTATGAATATCAAAAGTGATGGTATAAGTAAGCTATTACAATGATACTTATGAAGTATGGATGATATCGATTGGTGGGAATCCCAACTACTAGTATTGAGATGGTGACAAAACTCTAGGAGCTGTTTGGATCAGACGGCAACGAAATATAGGAAATCGTTGGTACTGGAGGATATTAATAACTGCTATCAATAGCTAAAGTCTTGGGCTGGGTGACAAACTAATGACATGAGAATAGTTGAAGCTTATATAATTGCAAACATCATTCTTTTCATTAGATTGATTACTCTTATGAACATGCTTATGACTACACATGATTGAATTAAATATCTGTTTTATACAATAGTCAAGATTTTTTTATTACCTGTTTTTTTGTTGCATGTTCTATAAGTTTTTAACATGTTGTGAAATGTGTGTAGACTTGTACAGTTACATACGAGTTTCACTATGTTTTTTTTTTCATGTATAAAAGCTTATTTTTGCTTTAATTATTCATTGAACTCGTTGTTGTTTACTCTATATTGTTTATTTTCAGGAAGGGATAAGGAGCACCGAGGCGAGTAGTCATGTTTGACTTGTATATCTTTTGAATTATAGTTTGGGAGCTTGTGCAGACTTTTGGGTCTGTACCTTTATTCATGTTGGATTTAACAACTCTGTATAATTTATGTGATGATATGATTTTCACGCTTCCAAGTATATGCATGTGAATGGATTATGAAATGAAATGTATCAAGTATATTTGTGGATATTTAGTTAGACTAGTTCATCACTCATTGGGTCTTAATTCGACATGTCAGGACAAATGTTGGTTGCTGGTGGTGATTTAGTGTGACTGAATTGTCCGTCTTTGTCGCACTTTAGCCGAAGGTGGGGCCAATTGGGGTGTCACAATATATATATATATATATATATATATATATATCCAAGTCTCTTCAAATATTTGCTATTATCCATAATAAATTGTCATCCTTTTGATTGACTCATCAGCCCACAACATGCGATGAACTTTTGCTGACAAATGTCACCCAACATTTATTAATATCCAACTCGCAACATTCTTGGTTACCCTTTTCCGACACTAATCAGCCCATAATGCTTGATGCTCTACAAAAAATTGCTCGATGTCCACAATTGAATGACTTCTCCCAAAGTCAAAACTTTTGACACCTGCTTATGTTTCCTGACATTTGTAGCTGATTGTTTTCTGTCAACATCCAAGTCTTGATGTCTCTGTTGACGCCAGATGTCCAACCAACATAAAGAATCAATAAACTGGATTTATGTAAAATCCTATACAAGTCTTGGTTCCAGTCCAGCACCAAACAACTCTTCTGATCCAGCTGTTAGCAAAACCTGCTAAAATTTGAATCTAGGCCTGGACATAATAAATCCAATGAATTTGGCAGTCTAGGATTTAAGAGTGCCAATAAACATCATTTCAATTCACCCTTTTTTTTTATTAAAAAAAAAAAAAAAAAACTTTTGCTTTTATTTAAGACCTTAGTTGTTGTGAAATGTTCATATTCATTTATATTGCACTCTAGCTTATTCTTTATTGGGGAAATTTTCTTTTTTAGTTTGGTCTGATTGAGTTTTCCAATTAATTTTGGCTTCCCAGGTTAATTAGACAGAGCAACACCCATGCTTTTCTCCCCCTGCCAAGACTCAGCCTCTTTTATTTTTCTGTCACTGGCTTGTAATAGTATCTGTATATTTAAATATGGCGTGTCTTCTTTTCGAGGGATTATTGCGTGCGGACACCGCATGCATCCGATCCTGACCGGTGATCTACGGTCAGGATTATTTCCGTTTTTTTTTTAAATTTGGTGGGGCCCACCGAAATACATCGGGAACATAGATCAGGTGATTTACGGTTCGGATCCGTATGGAATAATTTTTCCTTCTTTTCTTGGCATGTGAGGTGGTTTTGGTGCTATTTTAATAAAAAAGCGGACGACTGTTACCATTTTTCTAATAAAATGATGGATGAGCAGATATAAAGTTCATGTAATTATATATTGTCAAAATTACTGGGTCTCTTTTTGGTTGATTTATATTATTCAATTTGCAAATTAGCTAAATTAATTAGTTTCTATTGTTAAATTAAAAAAAAAAAAAAAAACCAATCAAAATATTAATTTAATTTAATTTAATTTTGACAAATTTAATTTGATTTTGGATGAATCAAATTATAAGAAATATGTTGGAGTTTTATTTCAACTGAATTTAAATCAATAGTGTTGTCTTTGGAAATTCGCTTGTCCACCCTTGTTTAAAGGGACAATTATGCAGGCCACTATTGTAAATAAATTTGTCTTAGGCAACTAATTATGTGCATAATATGAACATAATATGAAGGATTTAATTAAATAATCTCATTATTTTTAATTAAAATATTCATAATTCCCTTATCAATAGTCAATATTTATAAAATTGATAAAGATTAAAATTGAATTTTGAGTATGTAATTCATCAAACTATTTATTCAATGTTACTATTACTATTAGTTATTATTTTTATAACTAAATTATATTTTTATTTCATATATTCATTTAATGCTTTTTCCAATAGTTTATTTTTTCTCTTCAAAAAATCATTCATCATTTTTATAAATCCAATAATGTAAAGAAAAAATAATATAAATGATGTAAATAATTTGGAAGCATAAAGGATATAATAAAGAGGAATAATGAAAAATAAATAAGTCGTTGAAAAATGAAATTTTGACTTCTCATCCCTCAATGCTCATTATTGGATATATATCATTCAAATTTTTATTTGGGCAAATCTGTTCCAACATGCTTTTGGGCTAAAAATGCATTGAATTAAGGATAATCTCACGTATTCTTTGATTGCTCATTGGAGTTAAAAGGCTTTCAAAGCTGGTGTGAATTAGTTAAAACTTTTTTTAAGAATATATATATATATATAATATTTTAAACTTTATCTTAGCTTGATTCTTTGCTCAAATTAGGGTTAAGCTTAAAATTTAATCATGTTTAAGCCAATGAGATGTGTCCTATGATGATGAGGGTGCAATAATTTGTGGACAAGATCATGATTTTGAAATAGGACTAGACTGATAGGTTTGGTTGGTTCAATCATAAACCAATCTTTTGTTTGATTTAATTAATGTCAAAAATTACTTTTTGTATATAACTATCATGAATTGGAGGTTGAGTTAATAAAACGAGCAATTCAAATTTTTTTTTTTGAACCAGCTGGTTTTAATTTAGATAATTTTTTTTTTTTTTGGTTTTATAATCCTATTTGAATGACTAAGAATAAAATAATTTGATTTTAAAAAAAAAAAATTAAACAACATGTCTCAAAGTTTTTGATTTATAATTATATTTTAAATGCTCAAGAGTGGTGCCATGAATTAAAATATTATGCATTAAATTGATAAAATTACCATAATTAATCATTATTATATCATTAAAATCTTAAAATAATTATAGCAATTTTTAATGATCGGTTTAGCCTTTGTTAAATTGTTGAATCATGAACCTCTTTTTTCCATTTGGAGAGGAACCGTAGGTAGCGGTTGTTGGCTATTAGCATTGTTCTAGAACAGGTTTGTATGTTTTATCTTATTTTGAGGTTGACATAGTGGCACTTCATTCGGGGTGAAGAGGAATATGAGAATTGATGATCCCTGGTGTTGATGATGTTATGATTGAATGGGCGTTGACATGGTAAATGCTTTTCTCCATTCCCTTTCCTTCAAGTGATCCTTTCTCATTGGATCCTCTATTTTCACCCACAAATTGAATGCACTTTGACATTTGGTCCTTACTTTTGCATCATTTGCATTGACCTACCGCACGTAAAGTTGTCAAGGAATGCTTTATCATGGATTCACTCCCCCATGGTCATTAGCATCTCATTACCTTCTCCCTAACTCACTACCATCCTCACCGTTGCTCCATCATACCTTTGATTTGAATCAATGTTGAGGTTTCAACTTTCATTAATCACCAGCTTTCATATTTTATGGAATTTGGATATCTCCCAATTATCTTGGAAATTATAAATGATCTAATCAGTTCAAATGATTTATTTTAGGTGATTTGTATTGATTTAATCATGTTTTCATAATTATTTTGACTGAAACTAAATCCCAATCACTCAAATCGATGTGAATTGTATTGGATCAATGCAATAATTTTCACCATGAAATTACCATAAAAGTGAGAATGAATAGAAGTTAGTAAGGGTCTCAAGTCTAGACTTTTTGTGGTATTCTTTCAAAGGGTTTATATGTCAGATTACTAAATATATTTATTGACGATGATTAAACATATGTTTCATTTTTATTATCTGTTGTATCATTTCAATTTTTTTTTTAACAAGTTCAACAGTCACTTGTAAATTATTATATATATCCAACTTCTTGTAGGCTAGGGCATGTTCATTTTGCATGGCCTTTAAATTAGAATTTATTTTAAATAATTACAAAATAAATAAAAAATTAAACACAAAGAAGGGTATAATGAATCATTTTAAAAGTAGTATATAAATATGAGATCAATTTGTAAAGATTTAGCTGTATTTCTTTTTACATACACAATTATTTTCCTAGTTTGACAAAGTTTAAAAAAAATGCTTTATAATTCATTGAGAGAGTATATTAGAACACTTGCCATTGAGATCAATACAGTGGTGTTAAATTGTGTGATCATGGCCAATAAGGCTGTTGATTAGGATTTGTGTTGACTTTAACAAATTTATCATTGATGGTATGATTTTTAGTATTTGTGATTAGGAAGTCGTGAGATGATGGTTGTTTGGAGAGGATCAAAGTGATCTTAGTGGGCTCAATTGACATCAAGGTTCATGAGATCAAATTTTTATAGAGGAGCTCAATTGGAAGTAGTATAAGTAGAATTAGGGTTTATTTCAGATTTTGTCCAGAATTTGAAAGTCTCACATCAAACTCTTAGAAATTTCTCTATAGACCTAAATATTATACAAAAAAAACACTTGAATTATAAAATAGGGTGTTAATTACTGATCTGAAAATCTTGATAAGTTTTGTGATTGATTTGATATGAAGATACACACATATACTACATATTGGTTTATTCTGTCTAAAGGTTACCTAGATCGGAAAATTGGCTATATCCTTTTGTTGAGGTATAAAAATTTAGTAATTTAAATTGAAGATAGTATTAGAAACACTCAAGTATTGATCATGAGTGTTTTTTAGGGTTTGGACCAATGGAAATATGGATATGGGGATTTCAAACATAGAAACATAGGGACACAAAACACTAAAAAGTTAAGGCTTTCTACTTGTGTTTTGTGCCCCTATGTTTCTATTTTTTTTTCACCTTTTTCATGAACCAAAAAGTATGCAGAGCTTTTCTACAATGCTAAAATTCATTCTTGTTTTTCATGACTTCCAACACATAAATGTACAGTTTAAAACACACCAAATTAAAAGGTACTTCATTTTCCTTTTAAATTAAATTTAATAACTTTCATTTCTATGCTAATCACAAATTTGAACCAATCTGTTTCACAAAAATCAGGGACTTCATATGAATGGAGTAGCCTAATGTTTTCTCCAACACTACACTGGTGGCAATCATAATTGAACAAAATTAAAAAAAGTCCGTATTTCAAAAAAAAAAAAAATCATTAGAAATTCAACCCTAGGATGAAGTTTTAATACTTAATACATTAATCTAAGATGAGCAAAATAATTCATCACGTAGAACCAACAAAGCGAAAACAGAGCTTGTCTGAACTGTTTTGCATTCGTTCTGTATCAAGATATTATGAACCCATGGACACCCAGCATGTAGTGAAATCTCAAACTTGGCTCCATGATTGCCTAACTTAAAATACTTAGGAGCCTATTTTATAGATTCGTAACAGTATTCCCATGAGGTATTCTTCCAGAATTAAATTAATCAAAATAGCATTTCTCCATTGGCAGAGAACAGTATGAACATCCAGTGGAATGATAATAATAAGATACGACAGTTACCAAGGAAACAATTAGTTCAATTCAACATTATGACTTCAGGTGACAGCCTGAAATTTGTTCATGAGATGGTTCTTCTTTTCTTATATTATTTTCTTAATGCGGGATAATACAGTAGAAAAAATCGGAAAAAAAAATGGGGAGAAAAAAATAATGTATATATAGATGTGAGTCCTTAACACAGTTTTGAAGTTCAACAAGAACAAGTAGAGCAATCCACAAACGTCGCCTGCATTTCACCTACCCTCAACATCATATAAATCAGTTCTAAATATTGATCAAGGAAAAGCAAAATATTCAACACAAATAATGCACATGTATTGGTAATAAACGTATTGCAAGATAAATAGAAATCATATGCAAGCTTTGATAAGTTCAACCATTTAAAACTGGTGACAAATATAAAAGAGGCCTAGAAAACTCAACATGCTAATTGATTTGTAAATAAGAACTAAGATTAAACTAAAAGGCAGCTTCAATTAGCTAGTTCTACAAAACTATCCCAGCTCAACGAACCCAGTATAGTGGCTAATTTAGAGAAATCTGGTTACCTCCGGTGTTTCCTCGCTGACAACAGTCATATTTCCTACCATTTTGGGTGGGCATGTGAATCCCAACATCAACGTTAATTTTTGCTGAGTATTATGAGGTTCTACAACAGATTTTCTAAAGTACTTTCAGAATTGTTCCCTTTGTTCTATCAAATTTCATTTAGAAGGTAATTTTCTATACCGACTATATTTATGCATATTTTAGCCATTATTGGAATTGACAAAACAGCCTAAATTTATTTTTCATTAACTAGACATATATTGGTACTATTCCCACCATCCCTTGAATATAGCATTCTACAATCCTACATAGTTTTATCATGTACTTCGATATTTATAACTTCATTGCCAAATATATAGCAATAATTGGTCTACTTATAGTTCGTAAAATCTACCCTTAAAGTTTCTGTAAGGGTCTACTTCATTTTAATAAACTAGTTTTAACTCAATATCTTATGACTTCATTTATGTCTTCATTTTCTTTCATATACAAGATCTCAATTACTTAAACCTTCACAAACACAAAATAATAGATCTTATAACATCGAGTATTATCAATTTCACAAAACTTGTATTCATGAAAATCTTTATTCTAGTGAACATGATTCCCTACTAACTCATTCATTATACTAATTTTCACTTTACAAGAGATCTCATCTATCATCATTATAAAAATTTGAAACAACCTTATCCTAAATATGAAAACTCTTATGCATTCTGTGCCTGTTATCTTTGGTCTTCTAATTTTCATCTTAATCATTCCATGTAAATTTTATTTATTCATCGTAGTAGTTAAACTAGTACCCCCTCTATTCCATTACTTTCCACTGAATTTACCTATCAATTGCTAAACTGATAAGCCCATTTATATAATCATCTATTTCAAATTAAAGCTCCTAATTTTGTTACATCGACTTTAAATTCATGTTTATGCCACAATATACTTGAATCTTATGAAAGTGAAAAAATCTAATGCCTCAACCAATTGCATTAAAGTGAATATACAAAGGACTCTCTACCCTCCCTCCCTTCATTTATTAATTCTTTTTTTAATCCATTTCACTTAAATTGCTTTGAAGTCTTTTCTTTTCATCCACAACATCTTAATTTTGTTATCCACGGTAATCTTTGAAGTCCTCTAGTCCAACTCACCTTAACTTTATTATCCACCTTATGGGTGCAAGTTTAATCATCCAATGTGCATGCCCTCATTATCTATTTCCCATGCTCAGTTGAATCAACTATCAACCCAACCATGCAATAATATAAACCTAATTTGATCTCAGTAACAGTCGACTTATTCTCAACATATTATAACCGTGGATTAAGGCAATATACTGTGGCATGCAAATAATGATGAAACTAAATGAAGCTACTCCAACTTCTCATCAACAATATTTCTCATATTTTTGCAACTAGACTCGTCTCCCCACAAATTTTGGGCTACCGACTCATTAGCCTCAGCCACTACATTTAAAATAAGGCTCATAAGTAGCTATTTTTTCAAATCCATCTTCATAAAATTTAAACCAATGGTTTAATGTTGTTATAGCAAAGTTAACACACAAATAAAACATTTTGTTAAGAAAATCATCCTCACTTCTTTCCCTTTAGCTTTCTTCAACCAAGCATAACAAAGCCATTATGTGGAAGTGAACATAGATTCCACATATTGCCAAGCTTCCATCACCCTTTGAATAGTTTAAGTAGGCTGTAACAAAACTAGTTGCACCCAGATTGTAAGAGTTCCTTCTTTAAATTTTTTTTCATTATTGCCAAAACCCACAAATGATTATAGATGAAAATTAATATTTTCTTTGTTATATTCAAGACATTCTTGTCCTGATACGAGTCACTGAGTGATACCGGAGTTGACCTAAACCATCACAGAAAAAAAATATTATTGTTGAATTTATATAGCCTTACAACGATGACTCTTCAAATAGGAAATAAAGGATAACAATCATAAAATGACACAAGCAAACATCACTAAAGTGTATGCGAGGGGTGGTGGAGGTCGGCTAAGTAGATCATAACGACTTGCAGGGATGGCGGCAGCAATGGAATGCTAGTGGCAGCGAGGGGGAGATGTGAAAACGCAGACAAATATGGTTGTCCTAGATGGTGGCAGCTAGGAGTTAGCGTGGATAGCGGCAAAACAACAGGAAAGAGGTATTCCCTAGCTGCCCTGGGCGGCAGCGGCATTATTGATTGGCTGGAACAGCAAGAAAGAGGTGTGTTTTGGGCGACAACAATGCTTGAAGGGAGAGGGAAGCAGCCTAGTGATATCGCGAGCGGATGTAGTGAGGTACGACGACAAGAAGCGATGTGGGAGGATGTGGAAGGAAGTACGAGGAAGATAATCATCACCTCATGAAAGAAATACAGTCAAAGTACCACCAATCCCTCAAATACAAACCTTGAAAGGGAAAACGGACACCGGCGACAGTCCTGACAAAAATCTGGAATTAATCAAAAACTAACCCTAAGCAAGCAAAACATATATATATATATTAGCTAATAAATAAAATAGGAAGGGGAGGACCCCCTTCTGGGCGGCAACCAGAAAAGAAAGGGTAGAAGGGTGGCAGAAAGACACCTGGAGGGGGGAGATGGAATATCTCGCTCTTGAGAAGATCGGTTAGTCCAGCAGGGGATTGGATCCATCCTGACCGATTTAGTCGTCCATCCAACTAGCCGAACCCAAATCCCGTGTAATGCCTCCTAGGCTCTGCATCACCTGCATCCCGCTTGCCTCGTCCACGTCTATCTCCATAGCTCTGCGTCAGCCTCTTAGGGTTGGGAGAGCTTTGACTTCATTCGTCGAAGCTTCTGATTCTTCGTCTACAATCCTAGTAGCACTTGGATCCTAATGGCAACTGCACTGTCCTACAAGAGACCTGAGAGGTTCCCAACTTACCAGCAAACATCCACATTGGTCCAATCTTCTGGGAGTCTATTACTGAGCTGAATTGATTCTGCGTGTCTCAATTTTGCTGTTGAATAATCTCAAACTACTCCCTGGTCGGATTAAGCAGATCTAAGTAGGGGTACCTTGAAACTTCGCTCATGGTGGTGGCACTAGTGGTGAGGTGTCGACCATGACATTCTGAAATGCTCTTTGTCAAGCATGTCTCGTGCATGTAACTAGTGTCTCAATCCTATCATCCTCTGTCGTCACCAAAACGGGTTCCACCGATGTTGCTCTGCTGATAAGAGCTCTTGTGATCTCGGGCTCCGCCGAAGGAAGTAGGATGATGTGGTTCTCATACTTGGTGAAGGAATATGTGTTTCTGAATAAGTCATGTTGAGTCTTCCAGTAAAATTGCCACGGTCTCCCCAAAAAAATGTGGCAGAAATCCTCCTGTAAAGAGCTCCCGATCAAAAACTTCACTAGATCAAAAACTCCACTAGCACTTCCGATCAATGCTAACTCTGTTCTCCTTCTTCAACCATGTCAGAGAATATGGGTGAGAGTACCTTTGGGTCATGAAACCTAATTTCTTTACCATCTGCATAGATGACATGTCTTGCTGCTCCCTCCATCCATGATGAGACTGCATACTTTCTCGTTCACAGTGCAACAAGTGTAAAATATCTTGCGTCGAAGCCACTTTAAATCCTTCTTATCCTCGGCTTGTAGGACCCGTCGAACCATGAGTGACTCTCCTTCATCCGGTGGAAATGATACACCTCACCCTATTCCTCAGTTTTGTCCTCGTCGCTAACCTCTTCCACGACGTCCTGCTCAGTAAAGAATACAACTCAACTCGTCGGGCATCTGGAGGCAATGTGTCCAAATCCGTGACATCTAAAATATTTTTTGGCAGGGACTGTAGTAAGCGTGTTACTTTTTTCAGGCTTCTTCTCACTGAGGTTGGTTCTATCCTTATATGAACTAGCTTTCTCCACACCACGAAGCGAGCTCCTACTAGTTTTTCCAACTGTGGATGGTTGTTGTTGGGTATCACTCGTTGCAATTTAGCAAGTGGAGAAGTTGAAGAGCTAAAAGGAAGAAGACGATGATAAAGGGAGTTGAACTTCAAATGAGAGGATTCCATTTATATTTACAGTTAATCATAAGGGATGATATGTGCACCAATCAAACCAACGCCATCAATAAAATGATAAATAAGTATCATTTCCAATGCAATGGCTCATCCGAATAGTAGAATTTCTATTGCTTTCTCCCTACTATTTAATAAAAATAATTATGGCATTTAATTATCTTGAGTTTTTTACAAGACACTTTCCAAAGATGTAAAAAATTAGAATACTAAATATACACCCAAATGTATTAAAGAAATGATTTGATTATGGCCGACTCAAGACAAGTTTGACCTTGGTAAGGACAACATGCTCATCGAACCTCAAGGAACTTGGTAAGTCTATGATAAAATAATAAAAGCATTGTTAACTCATTTTTAGTGAGATCTTAGTCTCCTACTCTTAGAACCTAAGATCTAGCTTTAGGAGTTCTTATTTACCATCCTAGAGGACTAGCAATGGAGCCCACCTCCCGTAGAACTTCAAACCACTTCTTGACTCATTTTTGTGAAGAACTCGCATGAGTGGTTCCGAGCACTCAACTTCTA